ACGAGGCTTTTACAGTCAACATGAAGCTAGTGATACACAGGAGAATGGAATGCGAGAAGATACGTTCATGGGAAAATAATGAGACACCTGAGGATGGCAGTAATGAGAAGATGTCCAAAAAGGTGCCCGCAATGTGGAAATGCTTCACTTGTGAAGTATGTGGTATGAAATTCCCTTTTAAACCTAGGCTGTTGGCTCACATGAGGATTCATACAAAGGAGAAGCCTTTTAAATGTGAGGTATATGATACACCATTTGCTAGGAAACCAGACTTATTGAACCACATGAAAACACATACAAAGGAAAAACCTTTTGTATGTGATACATGCAGTAAAGGATTCTCCAGGAAAAGTTTTCTTAAGACACATATCAGAGAAGTGCATTTCAAGGAGAGGCCTTACAAGTGTGAGATATGTAATAAGAGCTTCTCTCGGAGTACATATGTAAGGCAACACATGTTAACTCACACAGAAAAGGATCCCTTTAAGTGTCAGATTTGTCACAAAACTTTCTCGCTCAAGCATTATCTGAAGGATCACTTGAGAAGACATGCATGGGTCAAGCCATTTGTCTGCGATGTATGCAGAAAGGCTTTCTTTACCAAAACAGTGCTAGAGGTACACATGAGAGTACATACAGGGGAGAAGCCCTATACCTGTGAACTATGCAATAAGTCATTTGCAGCAAAGTATACTTTGATAAAACACAGTAGAATACATACTAGAGAGAAACAGTAAGTAAGAGGAATTACGATAGTCTTTAATAGTCCATCATAGTGTAAACTTTATAAATGTATTTCTGACTGATCTTTGAACATTTCTTTTAAGGTTGTAAGGTTAGAGTTTTATGTACTAGATAATTCTGTTATGAAGTAGAAACTGGGTACTCAAGCCCTTCAAATCGCCAGGTAAGTCTGGGATGGTGATGTATTAGTTACATCTATTTTAGAATTTTTTATGTGTTCAGATTTTCTGTTTTTATAAATACAGTAGTTATTTCCACATATATATGTATGCATATACAACCATGTATGTGTATATACATATATATACATGTAAATGTATATACCTATATATATATATATATATATATATAATATATATATATATATATATATATATATATATATATATATATATATTTATATATATATATTTATTTATTTATTTATTTATTTATTTATTTATGTAAGTTTACACGTATATATTCATGAGTTTGATGTGCGGGTAAGGTTAGATTGTGCCACAGATTTACGGTTTGACTTTGTAAATACCGAAGTATTTATCTTCGTTTTATAATGTTATGTGATGATATTGTTTTTGGTGAAGATGTTGGATGATATGTTTTGTAGTTTTTGGCAATAAATCAAAATACTTGAGTTCTTTCTTATTTCCGCTAATGTGATAGAACCCGCATAAACTTTTATTCATCATTTCATTTCGTTCATGGAGGTACAAGCCTATACAACACAAATTAAATGACAACAGAGTATTCGTGACACGCGGGGCACGCCATGTATCAATTCAAAGAAGGAAAGATGAAATATATAAATAAATAATTAATCACGGAAGCTCAGAAATAGTGTTAACAGTCACAAAACATGGATATTGCAAAATTATTAATTCTAAATTGTTATTTGTTTAGTATTTTCAAGTGTCTGTGATAATGTCACCCTATACTGTTAGATCGGTCACATTGTAAAATTATCTGCATAATATTTGAAATAACTGTTTTATACTGATTAACAATAACAAAACTTGGGTATAAATTTGCATCGGAAATTTGTTTACGTTTTCACTTTTGACCAACAAACAAGACAAAACTCGTGAAAGGATACATCTTGATAAAGCGAATGTAGTAGACAACTTTGGTAATTTTCTATATTACCTTCGCCTCTCCCATATCGACGATTTTGGTATCGTTGGATTCTTCTCACTCTGTACAATCCAAATATGTAGGTTTTATTGCGCGGGAACCCCCCGTTTGCGGCAAACTTGGCCCCGATAGCAGGGGCGACGATGTCGGAGCGGCGGACGTAATATAGAAAATTACCCTAATAATATAACCCACAGTGAAAATAACCATGGTTATTCACATGACTTTCCATGTGAGCCCTCCTGAAGGGGGCTGCCGCCACCCAACCCCCGCCGAGGACACACAATATCCCCCACGTATTCACGGCAGGATAGAGCGCACACGAACTAGATGCATCGAAAAAAGGCGCAAAACCCGCCGACCCGACGATGGCGGGCCACCGCCGTTCTTCTGTTCATGGTATACCTTGTTCATCCTGATTATAATGCAATCGTATCTGTATACAATGTTGACTATGTCAAGGTTAGTATGCTGATTCAGTGGGAATGTTACGAGGTACGAGATCGCCGATAACTGTGTAACGTTCTAGCCTGCCGGGAATACGTGGTGGAAGTTTTGTGTCCTCGGCGGGTTAGGGGCGGCAGCCCCCAGGGGGGTCGCTGGGGGCACAGCCCCTTGCAATGGAAAGTCATGTGAATAACCATGGTTATTTTAACTGTGGGTTATTTATTAGTGTTATTTAACCCCGCATTTCCCCCGGAACCTTTCATGCCCTCCCCTGCTATCGGGGCAAAGTTTGTCGCTAACGGGGGTTTTCCGCGCAATAAAAACTATATATTTGCAATGTGGACAGTGAGAGGAATTCAACGATACCAAAATTGTCGATATCGGAGGGGCGAAGGTAATATAGAAAATTACCGAATGTATTTCCGTAGCAATCACAGCCGATGATCTTGATGTGATAAGTCTCGAAAGTAGGGGAGGTGTTTATGAATGTATATGTATATTTATACACACACACACACACACACACACACACACACACACACACACACACACACACACACACACACACACACACACACACTGCCTTTTAAGTTCCTTGGGCGACTTGGCCGGTTCCTTGGCCGTCTTCTTAGGTTCCTTAGCCATCATGGCAGGGCATGAAGTATATTAGGGAAATTATGAGGTAAAACAGGCTTAAATAAGAAAAAGGAATAGCTTTAGTTCCACACAGCCGTCAGTTAGAAGGAAATTTTTATCTTCATTGGACGTAATAAACGAAAATAAAAAACTTTTCTTCTATGGTTTTACCTCTGCAACTTGATAATAACAAAGTTATGACGTATGTGAGAGTTAAATAAATCTCAATATTTTAAAAATCGTCACTCGATATCAATAAATATAAACACAGTACGCAAAACAATAGGCCTTTCTTAGAAGATGGCCACCAGTGGGCACATGTGTCGCGCGGGTTTTAAAACGTCATGACATGATGTCCAGCAGGGGGAAGAAGGGTCGGGCGGGAGTTTTGACAAGTTATGAGGTAATGCCAGAGGCGCGGAACCATTTTTTTAATACCCAACATCGCAACAATGAACTTACTTTTAAATAATCGTATGCTACCATATGCCTAACAGGTAAGTTTCACCTCTGTGTTTCTAAGTAAAGTTTGGCTTTTCATTGTTAAAATCAAAGAGTGCAAGTAATCTTCCGCCAGTTGTGAACATAAATGTTCAATATGCTATGTGACGCAGTTTAACACTCGTTTCAACATACTGTGCATTTAATGGCAAATTTGAGTATCGACCAATAACCTTAACATAGTTTAGTCTTAATATAGAAAATGGAAGCCACAGGAAACAGTTAACCACCGGATACTTAAATGTTCGTGATACCTATCAGGTACATTGATAAACAAACATTGTACTGAATATTTTAGGATATTTGATAGATGGAGAAGGAGAGAGATAGAATTAGGCATTACACGAATAACGCACGCTGATACCTCTGGGTTGTCAAGTCAGATAATGGATCAATAATGACAATAATGGATCATATATTACATAACTGTAATACATCATCCATTATTGGCGCTAAGACATCTGTAATAGGAAAAGCAGCACTGTACAGTATTGTCACAGGTCTGGCCCCACTGGTGCATAAGTAACACAGTCACTCCTCAGTGTGCATAGTTTCTGTAGTGGCAGGTACTTGGACCATCTCTTACGCGCTCCCCCGGCGCTGTATTTGTGTAACATCGACAAGTAGCAAGACCTTACTTACTTGATAATGAATTACAGATGTTACTTGGCGGGTAAATGTATATCGAAAAAAAGTGCAAAATGGAGAGGAAGTGCGAGGGTTGTGACTGGAACTATTTGGATTTTATAAAGGAATATCACAAAGATGAAAAGTCATTAACTTTCTTAAGAAACCACGGTGTATTACCCACCGATGTCGAGTGCCTGATCTGTAGTTTCCCGTGCAGGTAGAGAAAAGAACGCGTGTGGTGCAGCGGACGGTGGGAAAATCACCAAATCGGTGCAGAGTTGCGCTTACTTTGATCAGCGATTACGGAGGCGGCACCTCTCACCATCAAGGCCAAAAAAAAAAAAAAAAAAAAATGGAATCAGAAGACAATCATTACCTGTCTATTTTTTTCAACTGCACGTGTGGATTGGAGGAGCTTTTGCTCGGAAGTTACGGAGAAATGGCTTCAGATTCAAAAGCCAATATTACCTGCGTCGAGATAGACGAGACTTGTTCGTAAGAAATATAAACGAGGTAGTCTTCTGAAGCAAGTGTGGGTGTTTGGCGGAAATGAAAGAGAATCAAAAAAGAAATTCATTGTTCCACTTAAAGATAAAGATAAGATCGAAGCGCCGAGACGCTCATCCCTTTCATAAAAAAAAAAAATCTACAAGGGAGCACAATAAGCAGTGACGGTTGGGCAGCTTATCGCTCATTAAAAGACCACGGCTAAGACCACAAAGTCGTAAATCATTCAGAAAATTTTGTTGGCCCTAAAGACTCGTCTGTGCATACGCAGGCTATAGAGCGACTGTGGAGGGACTTGAAGGAGTGGCCCAAGAGTCCTGGCATGCGATCCGATTATCTCTCGCAGTATTTTTTTTTTATTAATTCATTAGAGAAAACAAAGAACGTGCCATCCACATTTTTTTTATATAGAAGCTGCCCGGTTGTATCCGGCACAAAGTGGGAAGAAGAGGGAGTTCACCCCCGCCGCAGACCCGCTTAATGAGGCGGACACCTCTGGCAGCCGTGTTTTTATTTATAGACCGATTTCTTTTTTTCCTTTTTTTTGTAATAGATCTCCCAACACGAATTTCAAGGCTTTTGAGATTTCAAGAAATGTTTCGCAGAAACGTTTGAAAATGTTACCAATTTACGCGTGAGACGTCCGCACGTCTTGTCATTTGGTGCGCGTGTGTGGAGGCGTGCGCATGGGATCCTGCGCCTCGTATTGCGAAGACACGATCGTCTTCCGAACGTCGAGCGTATATTTGTCATTTACCGATAAATATGAGGCCGCTGCAGCTTTAACTATGGAGGAACCCATTATATTTTTCCCCGCTCTATAAGATGGCGGTGTCCATTGCTCTCTATCAACGCGCGTCGCTGTAAGTAACTTGATTTGAAGATTTTTAACTTTCATAACGTTGCATTCAATGTAATAATGAAAAGCTCTCGAAGTTCTATTAAATGGTGATTTTTTTTACTTTTAAACGGAAAGAAAAAACTAAATATGATTCAGTTACCCCAGAGAATTGAGTTTTCTGTAAATATTTTGCGATTCGTTGGAAGACCTACACTTTAGGAAACATAGGTGCAAGCTTGTTTAGATTTAAAGAACCTCAGTAGATAATAACGGTATGTACATTTTTTTTTTTCTTTAAATGACTGAAAAAATACGTGAACGACAAATGGCTAGAGCTTTTATTTTGCGTCGCTTACAATTTGATTACATAGTTATTTTTCAAATGTTTACGCATTTATTAGATTGTGGTCAAAATTAAATAAGAGATAACGAAATAAT